CTTGGATGCCCTGGCAGTAAGCAGATAAACATCAAATTTTCATTTTTGGGTGAACTATCCCTTTAAGACCTGAAAGAGGAATGAACAGCTGGTATAATGTTTTGGTTTCCTTCAAATGTTTTTTGGTTTTAGTAAAAGAAGGAGGGACGAGAGAAACTCACAATGCAGTCAAAACAGTTGAAGGAGGAGTGAAAATAAGGTCTGGTCCCCAGCCCATACATCTTAATACACATCTCTGACATAAAGATCCCCAGGAAGATGAACTCAGCAAAGTCTGGATTTAGGAGAGAGGGAAAGGAGAGAGAAAGAGCGTTCGCAAAGGTCAAAGATACAAAGACAATAAAGAAAGCCATTTGTGCATCCACATTTTAAAATACATAAATGTATGCATTACGTAGGGAAAAAAATATATTTATTTTAAATAAATAGAGCACAAACACTTTAAAAGCAAGAATTTGCTGATTTCAAATGACAGATATACTGTTCAAACAATAGATATACTGTTTAATACTACGATTAGTAAATTTTATGGTCAAGCTAATTGAACATCCATTGTTAATATGATGAAAATGTTATTCAGATTTTTTTTTAAAGGGTCATATGATGCGATTTCAATTTTTCCTTTCTCTTTGGAGTGTTACAAGCTCTTGGTGCATAAAGAAGATCTGTAAAGTTGCAAAGACTAAAGTCACAAATCCAAAGAGATATTCTTTATAAAAGTTAAGATTCAACCACGCCTACCTAAAACGGCTCGTTCTAACATGCCCCCACATGTCTACGTCACAATGTGGGAAGATTTGCATAACGCCGCCCAAATGTTCACGCAAAGAAAGAAGGCATAACTTTTATTCTCGCTGTAGTATTGTTGTTGCTGCCGCCGCCATGTCGTGAAGGTGCTGTGTTTCGTTGTGAAAGCAAAACTACTTTGTTTGGCCTTCCAAAAGAGGACGATATCTGCTTCGTCATGCCTAGAGCTGATCCGTGCTGGTCGCTGAGGAAATACATCAACTTCGCGCTGTGGATCGCCGGATCGGCTTTCACCGTGGACGAAGCAGAATCCAGCCCGGGGTCGTCACATGTGGTTGCTGCAAGACCGCCGGCCGCTCCTTGGTCGAATCCACCGGCCGCGCCGTTCTCAAGCCCGCCGTCCGTTCCTCACTCTAGGCCTCCGGCCTCCACTCACTCAGCCCGCCGGCCGCAGCTCACTCAAGCCCGCTGTGTGTGACGATGTGTGTTTCGTTGTGAAAGCGAAACTACTTTGTTTAACCGCATAAACACATTTCATTACAACAAATACACAAAATAATGTTCTTTTTAGCAACATCATATGACCCCTTTAAGTGTCCAAAATGTAATACTTTTAAGGGGCATTATACTTACTAACAATTAACAATTGCCATCTGATTACGCTGATGGCGCCGCAGATGGCAGCCATGGTTTGTCGGTCCTTGGTACTTGTACTCTTTTTGTTTGTTTGTCCTGTCTTAAGCAATTTTTTCCCGATCAGCTTTACTACAAAGAAAGATGTTTATAAAGATAGGTATGAATATATAGGTTAGTAGATAGATATATTTATGAATGGCATTTTATGGTAACTTTTTGCCGACGTTTGAACATTCAGACGTTTTACTGGACATTTTAGTCAGAGGAGCTGCGTTCCTATACAAGCGCTCCAGGCGACGTAAGTGAGGGAAGCGTGCCGGCGCGCTCATTAAATTCAGACAGCGCGGTTTTAGGACTCCGCTGCCGAGCATTCATCTGGCGAATCTCCGCTCCCTAGCAAATCAATCGGACGAACTACGACTCCTCACCTGCACAAACAAGAACTTTTTAAACTCCGCTGCGCTCTGCTTCACGGAAACCTGGCTGAACGGAGCTATCCCGGACAGCGTGTTACATCTAACGGGCTTCCAGCTGTTCAGAGCAGACCGCATCACCGAGTCGTCGGGGAACATTAATTGTAAGCCTTTTTATTCGCCGCGGGAGTTTTCCTCATTTATTCTGGTGAGTGTGTACATTCCTCCTGACGTGCGTGTGAGCACCGCACTAGAACTGTTGGCCGATCAGATCGCACACACAGAACAACGTTATCCGGACTCTTTCATTATCGTTCTCGGGCTGAAGCAGAGCAGGATTTACAGGCCTGCTTTGAACTTACTGATTGGAGTGTTTTTGAGGCTGCAGCTACTGATCTGGATGAGCTCACTGACACCGCGACATCCTACATTAGTTTCTGTGAGGACATGTGTGTTCCCACCAGGACTTATTTCACATTTAACAATGACAAACCTTGGTTCAGTGCAAAACTCAAACAGCTTTGCCAGGCCAAAGAGGACGCCTACAGGAGTGGGGACAAAGACTTGTACAAACAGGCCAAATACACACTGAATAGGGAGATAAGAG